GATGTGTAAAAATTATTGTATTGACATTGACGACATAAATACTTGCATTTTATTCTACATTATGTATCATTTCGTTTCGCACAAAGCCTTGATAATGGCCAGTATTTACAGCTAAACTCTGGTATTTTGGATTTGGATAAAGGCTCTCGTGTAGCGTTACAATTAATGAAAAAAATGGTTTGGATGTTTTGACAAATTTACATATACTGTATGCATGAAAATTATTGCTATCATCTTCACGCAATAAGAGTAACAAAATCGGACACGGTGCATTGCTTTTCATTTTCGGTAATCAAAGTTGATTAAAGAACACACAAAGAGTTATTATCATGATTGTCTAATTGCACACATGACTGTTGATTTTTTTCACAAGTCGACCGGTCAGCGAGTGGATCTGCGCCAATTAGTCTGGCTTCGACTAATAATTTGGCTGGTTTCGAATAATAAGTGTGAAATTCTTTCATAATTGTAAAATTGGGACCAAAATTTTACTTCGAAAAATAGGAGGTATTCCGATAATGTATTTCGAATAATACTCTAGTATTTATATTGATTTTTATAGAGATAAAAACAGGACCACCGACCTACTTCCGATAATGCCAGGTATTTGAATAAAGGGTTGTCGAATAACTGGGGTCGGACTGTAGTAAATTTTAAAAAAAATCTTCTTGTGAAAAACCGAAAGCACTATAGATAAGATATGGCATGAAATATCTTCTAATGGATGTCTACCAAGTTTGTTCAAATAAATGCCCTAGGATCAAAATTGGCCCCGCCCAGGGTGTCATTGATTTTCCTTATACATGTACGAGGGGTGATCCAAAAATTTGTGGACAATATGTGTATCTCCATAAAGTGACGTCCTACCGAGGTGAACTTTTTGGATATTATTAATCAATGTTTTTTTAATAAATTGACCAAATTTTAAAACACCAATTGCATTTTTTATCTATATGTGACAACATTTAAACATTAAGTATCAAAATCGCGGCGCAGCGTACTTTTTCTCTGTGATGTAAATGTTTTTTTCTCATTTAAACACATGTAAAACCTGTGCAAACAAAGAAAATTGCGGGAAACGTTATAATAACGTTGATTTGATGTGTATGACGTCATTCTGTCAGTATCAGAAGACATTTTGATGTTGCGGTTATTGTACGCTCGTGCTTTAAAACACAGGTGCTAAAAACAGCTTTATCAAAAATGGACTTCACGGATCCAGCAAAACTTCCGACAGTTATACAGTTCTGTGTAAATCTTGGAAAGACGCCTGGCGAGACAAAAACAATGATCGAAAGTGTGACAAATAAACCGTCAGTGTGTTGTTCTCTAGTTCTCAGCTTGGAGCAGAAGTACTCAGTCATTCACCATATTCACCTGATCTTTCCCCGTGTGACCTCGCCTTGTTTCCCAGGTTAAAGAAAGAGTTGAGAGGGAAACGTTTTGACAATCTGGACGAGTTGAGAGGAGCCACCCAATGCATACTGTCATCATTCAGCCAGGAATGGTATTCGAGTACATTTAGAGACTGGGTCCGCCGCCATGAAAATGTGTGCAGGTTAAAGAGGAATACTTTGGAAAGTTATAAGGCAAAACAGTAACATAGATTACTTCCTATGATACCATAACGTGGTTTGTGACTTCGTGAGCTGCGCCGCGTTTTGTCATGTCTATGTATATAAACTGGTGCAGAATCGTTAATTCTTGTACAATCTTTACAATATTTTGAGAATTTGTCCACAAATGCTCACTTAATAAGATACTAGAATTTCATGTGATTTGCTTTATTATGCCCCCACTTCGAAGAAGAGGGGGTATATTGCTTTGCACTTGTCGGTCTGTCGGTCCGTCGGTCCGTAGACCAAATGGTTTCTGAGTGATAACTAAAGAACCCTTAGGCCTAAGAACTTCAAACTTGGTATGGTGATTGGTCATGACCAGTAGATGACCCCTATTGATTTTGGGGTCAAGGGGTTAAAGGTCAAGGTCACATTGACCATGTATGTTAAAACGATTTCCGATCAATAACTAAAGAACGCTTAGGCCTAGGAACTTCAAACTTGATATGGTGATTGGTCATGACCAGCAAATGACCCCTATTGATTTTGGGGTCAAGGGGTTAAAGGTCAAGGTCACATTGACCTTGTATGTTAAAACGGTTTCCGATCAATAACTAAAGAAGGCTTAGGCCTAGGAACTTCAAACTTGATATAGTGATTGGTCATGACCAGCAGATGACCCCTATTGATTTTGGGGTCAAGGGGTCAAAGGTCAAGGTCACATTGACCTTGTAGGTAAAAACGGTTTCCGATCACTAACTTAAGAACCCTTAGGCCTAGGAACTTCAAACTTGGTATGGTGATTGGTCATGACCAGCAGATGACCACTATTGATTTTGGGGTCAAGGGGTCAAAGGTCAAGGTCACATTGACCTTTTAGGTAAAAACGGTTTCCGATCAATAACTAAAGAACGCTTAGGCCTAGGAACTTCAAACTTGGTATGGTGATTGGTCATGACCAGCAGATGACCCCTATTGATTTTGGGGTCAAGGGGTCAAAGGTCAAGGTCACATTGACCTTGTAAGTAAAAACGGTTTCCGATCAATAACTAAAGAACCCTTAGGCCTAGGAACTTCAAACTTGGTATGATGATTGGTCATGACCAGCAGATGACCCCTATTGAATTTGGGGTCAAGGGGTCAAAGGTCAAGGTCACATTGACCTTGTAGGTAAAAACGGTTCCTGATCAATAACTAAAGAACCCTTAGGCCTAGGAACTTCAAACTTGGTATGCTGATTGGTCATGACCAGTAGATGACCCCTATTGATTTTAGGGTCAAGGGGGTCAATGTCATAGTGACCTTGAACTTAATGACCGTTTCTAACCAATAACTCAACAACTCAAGTTGCCTTGGTTGATATTTTTATGTGCTTTTGGTATACACATTTGAAGGTCTTATGTAATATAACAACTTGGCTGTCATTAATGAGGCCTATGTGATTCATAAAATTTATGTATATATTATTTGGTAAGATTTTTAATAACTTTAATTGCTGCACACAACCTATGGGGTCACAATAATTATTACCTTGTGACTAGTCATGACCAGTAGATACTAGATTACCCTTATTAATTGCTTGTTCACTGGGTCAAAGTCATGCATAATAACCTGATCACATGACAAAATGGCTGCCGATAGGGGGCATACATGTTTTACAAACATATCTTGTTACTTTTTGTTTTATGCAGCGTGTCCACGAATTTTTGGATCACCCCTCCTATAGTCATGTATATAGTAAAATTTGAAAAATCTTCCTATGAAAATCCAAAAGAGTTATAGCTTAGATATTTAGAATGAAACATGTTCTAGTGCATGTCTACCATGTTTGTTGAAATAAAATTCCTAGGTTCAAAATTAACCTGACCCAAGGGAAGTCACAATTCAATGGTTGTTTTCCTTCTCTTTTTCTGTCACCTTTTTATTGTGTCGCCTTGAAAAGGTGACATATAGGGGTTACTTTTGTCGGCGGCGTCTGTGTCGGCGGCGTTGTCGGCGTCGTCGTCGGCGCCACCTAAAGCTTGTCCGGAGCATAACTCAGTCACTATAAGTCTGATTGACTTCAAACTTGGTATGCATGCTTCTTTCAATAACCCGAAGTGCAGTGCACAAGGACCGGTACTCTGCAGTTCTTATTTTTTGAGTTATTGCCCTTTGTTAATTTTCATACTTTAATTTTGTCCGGGCCATTTCTCTAAAACTAAAAAAGCTATGGACTTGAAACTTCATAAGATGATAGATCTCATTAAGAAGAAGTGCAGTGCACAAGAACCGGTACTCTGCACTTCCTAATTTTTGAGTTATTGCCCTTTGTTAATTTTCATACTTTATTTTTGTCCGGGCCATTTCTCCTAATGTATAAAAGCCATGGACTTGAAACTTCATAGGATGATAGGTGTCATTAAGAAGAAGTGCAGTGCACAAGAACAGGTACTCTGCATTTCTTATTTTTTGAGTTATTGCCCTTTGTTTATTTTCATACTTTAATTTTGTCCGGGCCATTTCTCCTTAAGTATAAAAGCTATGGACTTGAAACTTCATAGGATGATAGATCTCATTAAGAAGAAGTGCAGTGCACAAGAATTGGTACTCTGCATTTCTTAATTTTTGAGTTATGGCCCTTTGTTGATTTTCATACTTAATTTTTGTCCAGGCCATTTCTCCGAAAGTATAAAAGTTATGGACTTGAAACTTCATAGGATGATAGATCTCATTAAGAAAAAGTGCAGTGCATAAGAACTGATACTCTGCATTTCTTATTTTTTGAGTTATTGCCCTTTGTTGATTTTCTTACTTTATTTTTGTCCTGGTCATTTCTCCGCATTTCTTATTTTTTGAGTTATTGCCCTTTGTTGATTTTCTTACTTTATTTTTGTCCTGGTCATTTCTCCTCAAGTATGAAAGCTATGGACTTGAAACATCATAGAATGATAGATCTTATTGATAAGAAATGCAGTGCACAGATATGCTGCTCTGCACTTATTATTTTTTTAGTTATTGCCCTTTGTTATTTTTCATATTTCATTTTTGTCCTGGCCATTTCTCCTAAACTACATTGTTCACAAGGCGACACATCCGACTCGCGGAGTTCTAGTTAGCTTACCTCTCACTTAGTGACAGGCTGAACTGTTAAATTAAATGGCTGCCAGAGCTAAAATTAGAAAACAACAACATCTAAACCACTGGTTCAATTTTGAAATAATTTTACACAAAAATTACCTTGGTGAGAGTACACAAAATTGTTCAGATTAAACAGTCCTTTTTTTCAAATTGTGATTCTTGGGGTGAAATGGGGCTCCAGTTTGACCTTTTGACCAATTTTTTGGGTGAGTGATCCAGGGCCCTCTGGGCCCTCTTGTTTTATTATTGTGTTTCCAATTAAATTCATGCATGATTTTCTATATTCTGTAACATTTCATTTTAATTTTTTTTCTATTTAAGGTTTTGATGAAGTACCATCCTCTAGGTATGTTTGTCTTAATTTGTTTCTCAATTTTAATAAGTGTTATTGTGCCCCCACTTTAGGGGGAGCATTTAGATTGTCTGTCTTTCTGTACTATTTAAGAGAAGTTGGGGACCATGTAACTGTAAACAGAACAAAAGAGAACAATAGAGTTCATTCTGCAACAATAGAATAAGGGGACATGGCCCTCTATTAAAAAAAAGAAAATAACAATAGATATGGCCCCTTAGTCCATTGTGGTGGTACGTCCTTCCTCATTTTGTGTTGCATGTTGCTTAAAAAGTATTTGACTTAGAGTCATGAAACTTTACAGGAATGTTGATCAGCATGTGTAGTTGTGTGTAGTTTGACTCAATTGTCATCAGACTTGGTACAGATGCTTGTCTAGGTTATTACTTGGATGAGTTCGAACATGGGTCATTTCAGATGAAAAACTAGGTCACAGCAGCTAAAAAAAAAAAATCTTGTTCACACTTTAGTGGCTACTGTTTTGATACAGATATCCTGGAAATTGGTCTGAAAGTTTGTTTTGATGATTTCTAGGTCAAGTTTTGAAGATGGGTCACCTGAGGTCAAAAATTTGGTCACACTGCTCAAATATGGAAAAACCTTAACACTTTTAAAGAGGTAATATTTTTGACTCGACTGTCATGAAACTTTGTTAGGATGCTTGTATAGGTTACTGCTGGGATGAGTTCGATGGGTAAGGGTGAGGGATTTAGGACCATGTTGGCCCACTTGCTTGTTTTGTGAAGTACAGACATCAAATTTGGACCGTCGATGTGATTTCTGATGCGCAATTTGCATTTTGATATCAGCTGACCTGCTTTTGATATTATTGATATCATTTTACCTACTTTCTCGCTTTTTGATGTACAGACATGAAATTTTGACCAAGGGCCAAGTTGAATTTTGTTACTAGCTCACCAGAACCGAAGGTTCAGGGTGAGCTATTAGTATCAAAGGGGGATGCTCCGGCGTCAGTCGTCCATCAATCTGTCGTCATGCATCAACAATCATCTTATTCTCTGAAACTGCTAGGCAGATTTACTTCAAATTTGATCTGTAGCATCCTGTGACAGTCACACTTAAATTTGCTCATGTCATTTCAATTGGCCCCTTTTAGGGGTCAGCAGAGCTAAAAATAAAAAACCTTTAAACATCTTCTACTATAGAACTAATTGATGGATGATCACCAAACTTTGTGTGTAGCATTCTTGGGTAGTTTTTTTTATCAAGTTTGCTTATATTAATTTGATTGGCCCCTTAAAGGGGTCGCCAAAGCTTAAAATACAACAAAAACCTTTAAACATCTTCTCCTACAGAACTAATTGATGGATGATCACCAAACTTTGTCTGTAGCATTCTTAGATAGTCTTTTATCAAGTTTGCTCATATTAATTTGATTGGCCCCTTTTAGGGGCCGCTAAAGCTAAAAATAGAAAAACCTTTGAACATAATCTCCTATTGAAATAATTGATGGATGATCACCAAACTTTGTCTGTTAGTCTTTTTTTTAAATTTGCTCATATTAATTTGATTGGCCCCGTTTAAGCTAAAGCTTAAATGCCCCAGTTCATGGCATTTCTTCAAATTATAGTTGAAAGATATTCTATGCTCAAATTTTATGTAAGAATATATTGACAATGTATAATTTCCCACACTGAAAAGCAGTAGTTTCTGGTGAGGGACTCAAGGCCATCATGGCCCTCTTGTTTAATACAGATTTAAAATTTGGACCTGGGGGTGTACTTTTTTATGCTAAATTTTGATATCAGCTGACCTACTTCTGATATTTTTGATATCCCTTGACCTACAATAAAATGATGGGTCAAATGAGCGATCTGGGGCCATCTTAGGCCCCTTAAGTTGATAATGCTTGTCTGATATATAACTATCAAACTACCGGTACATAGAGGATATTTGTTTGTTTTGCATGCAAGATTGAAATGTATTTCATATTTCACTGAGGGAACACCAGATGCAATATTTTCACAAGTGGCAAAGCTGATGATCAGGAAATATATTTCAATCTTATATGTAAAACAAATGAATTTTCTTTTTATTTCATGCTTTTTAAGTGATTTTTAGCATTTTTACTGATTTTGCCACGTAACTTCGTGAAATTCTCATCATATCATGATGTCACATCATTAATTTTGAAATATGGTTCTATTAAATCTTTTCTAATTTTCTTATTAAATATACATGTAACATGTATTATAGTAAACACTGGAAAGCATGAAATAAACATATGTATTTCATTGAAGCTTTACACAGTTGATGAGATTTAAGTGAGAGGAAGTGCAGTGTCAAAGAACCATTACTCTGCATTGCTTAGTTGTTTTAGTTATCTCCTTTTATAATTCATTTGTATTTTATTATGCTTGTCAGCAGAATGACTTAAAAAGAATTAAAGGTATTTAATGATTATGCTTGTCCAAGATCTATAATGCTACCTTATTTTTAATACTCTAGCAAAACCTGCATCTAAGGAGGATCTGAGTAACATATCAGAATGCATTGGTTCCAATTGGGAAATGCTAGCACCTTTCCTTATAGAGAGCAACTCAACAGCTACTGTAGAGCACATAAAAGAAGTTTATGAAGTAACTTCACAGCGTGTGTATGCTTTACTTAACAAATGGCGTACAGAGACAGATGACCCGTCATTGGCTCATTTATTTCACTCTATGTACCAAGCTGGTACGTCTGTGACAATTGATTGGTACAAAATTGCTTACAAACTCAAAGTTTCTATACAGGATATACAAGCATGTAAGTTGCAGTTTTTCAATTTTTCTGTTGCAATTCAATATTTAATATCTTTAATAAATACAAAATATTTTAGTTTAGTTTTAAAATCCATATGAGTAAAGCTGTTTCTAATAATAATAATAATGTAATTTTAAGATTTATTAATATTATTTTCAGCTCACTAAAACAAAAGAGACATTGTGATGTCAGGAGTAATGGTTAATGTTCTGAAAAATTGGGCCCCTTTTAAGGGTTGGCAGAACTAAAAATAAAAAGCCATTAACCATTTTATTCTCGGGACCAATAGATTGATAATTGGTGGTCAGCTATCAACTTAGTAAACTTTGGCATGAAACATTAATTTGTGGGTGCCCGTCCCTAGATTTGCCACTAAAATGCCACCCTTTTCAATGGTGGAGTATTTAGACAATTTTCCACCAATAATGCCACCAAAACGCCACCAAAACGCCACCCAAATCATGAAAATGGTGAAAATTTTGAGCAGGACTGATGTTATATAATTTTCCAGTTAATTTCACCTTTTTTACACTAAATGCCACCAATGAGTGGAAAATTGGTGGAGTATTTAGACAAACTTTCACCATAATGCCACCATTATGCCACCTTAGGGTGGCAAACTCATTTTCCACTAGATGCCACTTGTTTCCACTTATTGCCACCATAATGGTGGAAAATTGGTGGAGTATTTAGACAAATTTCCACCATTATGCCACCATTGAGTGGCAAACTTATTTTCCAATGCCACTTATTTCCACCTTTTGCCACCATAAGGGTGGAAAATTTGTGGAGTATTTAAACACTTTTCCACCATTTTGCCACCAGATAGTGACAAATTCAGTTTCCACTAAATGCCACCTATTTTCACCCTTTCAGAAATTTTCCACCTTGTGGGTGGCAATAGCTGGAAACTGCTTGAAAGTCACCCTGTACCCTAAATTGGAAACAAACAAATTTTAAAAATAATCCTTTTTAATGTTTCCATATGAAATTATATATTGTCTCAAAAAATAGCAAAACATTAGTCCATTTATTTTCTTCAGTTTATCTTGCTATTCCTGGACGGCTTGAGTTCAGTCCTTTAGGTTGTCGGCAACTTTTCGAACGCACAATCTAAAACAAAAAAAATTATGAATGATTAATACAATAATTAAAAACATAAGCTTACATTTTTATATGACTATTGGATATTTCTATATTCAATTTGAGTGCATAGATATGATTAAAACACTTTAAAAAAACAGCACTGCAGACGTGGAAGAATCAGACTTTTCTTATTTACTCCAAGGCGGGAAATATATGCAGAATCAAAAATGATATTTTCATTCAGTTCATTAGTTACCTTCCAAGAACTTAAGTTTTGCCTTGTCTGCACAAGAAGGTCTGGCGTCAGACTCTCTGTTCCCTTTCCTCATACCAAACAATGAGCGGCCTTTAATCTCTTCTATATTGAATAGCATTCTGAAGAGCTTTGCTGTACCTTTCTCTTTTGAGGCATATGGCTTCTTTTCTGCCATCACTTGGTCCTAAAATATGATTAACAATATCAAATAAGTAAAGACAGACTTTTCGAGCGCACAATCTAAAACAAAAAAAATTATGAATGATTAATACAATAATTAAAAACATAAGCTTACATTTTTATATGACTATTGGATATTTCTATATTCAATTTGAGTGCATAGATATGATTAAAACACTTTAAAAAACAGCACTGCAGACGTGGAAGAATCAGACTTTTCTTATTTACTCCAAGGCAGGAAATATACGCAGAATCAAAAATGATATTTTCATTCAGTTCATTAGTTACCTTCCAAGAACTTAAGTTTTGCCTTGTCTGCACAAGAAGGTCTGGCGTCAGACTCTCTGTTCCCTTTCCTCATACCAAACAATGAGCGGCCTTTAATCTCTTCTATATTGAATAGCATTCTGAAGAGCTTTGCTGTACCTTTCTCTTTTGAGGCATATGGCTTCTGTTCTGCCATCACTTGGTCCTAAAATATGATTAACAATATCAAATAAGTAAAGACAGAAAATGATTATCAATATCTAATATGTAAAGACAGAAAATGAAACACTTTTATAAGACCTTAGTATATGTATACAACTCTAAAAATTTAAAATAAGAAAGAAATAAAGAAATACAACACATCAACACCAGTGCAGGTTGAGTAATTACTTTAACTCACATGCATTAGTCAACCTATTTCGAATATCTGATACATACTGAAGCAAATTTAAAGATATGTCATCTTCAGACAGGAATTTCTCTTTTAGAAGTTTTAAGGGTCCTGACGGACAGTGTGACCAAATACTAATTCAAAAGGGCTGAAGCCAAGAGATTCCTGAACAGATTCTCTTACAGCAAATAACAATAAATGGATGCCTTCATCCCAATCTTTTTCAGTGTCAAAACAATATGACCTAATCATATTTTTCAGAGTCTGGTGAAATCTTTCTAAAGCACCTTGACTTTCAGGGTGATAGGCTGAAGACCTATATTGAGTAATTCCTAACTCATGCATGACCTGCTGGAAAATACCAGACATAAAATTTGACCCTTGATCAGACTGTACTGATTTAGGTAAACCAACAAATGTGAAAAATTTCACAAGAGCCTTGACAATAGTTTTGGCTTTAATATTTCTTAAAGGAATAGCTTCAGGGAAGCGCGTAGAAGCACACATTATAGTTAATAAGTACTGAGAACCTGATTTAGTTTTTGGTAATGGACCTACACAGTCAATAATAACTCTACTAAAAGGTTCATCAAATGCAGCAATAGGGGGGGGGTGGCATATAGTCGTCGGGTTGTCCGAGCAAACATTTGATATTTATGAGCTTCATTCCGTAGTTAAATAAAGAACAAAAACTCATCAAATTCAAATTAAGTTCTATTTTTTTTGTTTTTATGAGCTAATTTTGCTTATGGACGTTGGTCCAGGTGGTGTTTATGAGCTGATTTGCCTCATAAACATCAAAAGTTGGTACATCCGTCAGTCCGTCCGTACGTACTTCTCGAATTCATGTCCGGCCGATAACTTTGTATTTTGAAGTCGGATTTTACAACTATTTCATAGAAATGATCACCATATTGAGATGATGCGTCGCATGCAATTTGGGTTGCTACCTTGAAGGTCAAGGTCACAGCATGTCCTTGCAGCAAAATCGTGTCCGGCCTATAACTTCTTTATTTGAAGTCAGATTTTACAACTATTTCACAGAAATGATCACCATATTGAGATGACGTGTCGCGCGCAACATTTGGGTCGCTACCTTTAAGGTCAAGGTCACAGCATGATCTTGCAGCAAAATCGTGTCAGGCCCATAACTTTGTTATTTGAAGTCGGATTTTACAACTATTTCATAGAAATGATCACCGTATTGAGACGATGTATCGGGTGCAATATTTGGGTCACTATCTTGAAGGTCAAGGTCACATCATGACCTTGCAGCTGAAAATCGTGTCCAGCCCATAACTTTGTTATTTAAAGTTGGATTTTACAACTATTTCACAGAAATGATCACCATATTGAGACAACGTGTCGCGCGCAACATTTGGGTCCCTTCCTTGAAGGACACAGCATGACCTTACAGCAAAATCGTGTCAGGCCTATAACTTCATTATTTGAAGTTGGATTTTACAACTATTTCACAGAAATGATCACCATATTGAGACAACGTGTTGCACGCAACATTTGGGTCAATACCTTGAAGGTCAAGGTCACAGCATGACCTTGCAGCAAAATCGTGTCCAGCCAGTTATGTGAAGTTGGATTTTACAACTATTTCATAGAAATGATCACCATATTGAGACAACGTGTTGCATGCAACATTTGGGTTGTTTCTTCACTTTGAACTTTGTCTGTGACATAACTCTGACACTACAAGAGGTATGACGTCCTGTGTCCAAAACCTATTCGGGGAGCAACATCCGGTTCAACCGGCTCTTGTTTTACTATAACTTAATACATAATTATACATACATGTAGTTGATTTTTCTTTCATAGATTTGTCTTCCTTACTGCCTCCAGTATTTTATAAGTTGAGCTTCGCTGTCTCCTGTGACAGCTCTTGTTTAGTTATCTCCTTTTATAATTCATTTGTACATTATTCTGCTTGTCAGCAGAATTACTTAAAAAAAGTATTGAAGGTATTTGATGATTAATTTTGACCAAGATCTATAATGCTACTTTATTTTTAATACTCTAGCAAAAGCTGCATCTAAGAAGGATCTGAGTAACATTTCAGAATGTATTGGCTTCAAAAAGGGGG